GCTCCTCAGGAGGAACCATGTTTCATCAAAGCTAAAGAACTTTGGTTAAATCCAGTTTAACTCCAACATAACATCAACATCCAGGGTTCTCCTTGCTGCTGCTCCTCATGTTCTCCTCTGAATGTTCTTATGTTCTATAGTTTGATATGAGCTGCACGTTCACCTCCATCTGTGTGGACCTGCAGCAGAGCTCCTGGTGGGCGTTGTTTCCTCCTGTGGAACTTTCTGGTGGTGCTAAGGAGGATCAGAGTCCTGCTGGGGGATTTTCTCAGCAGGTGGGAAATTCCTGCAGCAGAGTTCTGAGTGGGCCTGCAGGATAAAGGCAGGTTCTGATCGGTTCAGAGGTCGTTAAACGCTGCTTTGCACTGTCATCATCATCATCATCAAGAGGAGAAGGAGGAGGGATCAGTGGAACGTTTAAAAAGGTTCTGGATGTTTTTAACCTCAGGAATGTTCACAATGTTTAATTAATGTGAGAGTTTATGAGGAAAGTGGATGTGAGGTCAGAGGAGCTGCTGATGTTCCACAGTTCAACCAGTACGCTTCATCTAGTCTGGTTCTGATCCAATCTGGACTCAGTGTGGCTCTGAGTTTGATTCTGATCCATCTGTTTCTTTCAGGGAGCTTCAGCCCAGTGATGAAGATGACGCTCCAGATATAGACTTCCTCTTCCTCACCTGCTCCTCATCATCAGGACATCACAGCCGTCCGACACCATGGACCCCTTCACCATCTGAGCTCCGTCCTCAGTCTGCGTCTCCCTCTGCGTCTCTGACCAGAACCCCAGAACCCGGAGGAAGAGGGAGGGGCCTGCAGCAGTGAGGCGGGGGGTGGGGAGGGGTGGGAGGGAGGGAGGTAAGGGGAAGGAGGAGCCAGGATGCCTGGGCCCAGGACGGTGAGAGTCATAGGGGCAGAGGCTCTGGTGGTTCTGCTGGAGGGCGGGTTGGACCGGGTGGTTCTGATCGACAGCCGGCCCTTCGTGGACTACAACACCTCCCACATCCTGGAGGCGGTGAACGTGAACTGCTCCAAGCTGATGAAGAGGAGGCTGCAGCAGGACAAGGTGCAGATCGCTGAGCTGCTGCAGCACTCGGCCAAGAAGAAGGTGAGATGGCAGGGGGGAGGGGGAGGGGGACTATCAATTTCCTCAGTTTGTAAAAAAATAGTTTACAAAATGTACATTTTTCTTTTCTTGCACATCAAAATCTTAAAAGTGTGGCAGGCATTTATATTCTCCCCCCCTCTTAATTTAATCCCCCTAAATAAAATCCGACCCATCAAATGTTTTAACATCTGTGTGGAATCTAGTCTGAGCTGAACTTCAGCTGTTCTTTAGAGAAAAACCAGCATCGCGAAAACCAAAGAACCCAGCAGACGGGTCAGTTCTGGTTCGGTTTGAAGCCCGGTTAAGTTCTAGAACAATCTCCATCTTTGAACATGTCCTAGAGTTCTCATCCATCCTCTGAGCATGGAGAGAGGTTGGAGCAGCTGTATACCCAGACAGACAGGAGAGCGTTGATCTCATTGGAGACACGGCACACCTCAGACCTGCGACTGAGGTGGAGGTTCACCTTCCAGCAGGAGAACCGCCCTGAACATCCAGCCAGAGAGGCGGCGGTTGACACCTGCATCTACTCTGATATGAACCAAAGTCCAGACTGAAATTAGGCTTGATTTAGGCTTGACTTGATTTAGCTGTTCCAGAAGAACATCAGTAAAAGTTTTCAGTCTGTAGTTATGTTAGACAATGTCTTAAAGGTTTCCATAGCAACGGGACAAAATGTGAAAGAACTCAAAGGGTGTAAAAACTCCTGCACTGAACAGACGGCCCGCATAGTGTGTGGGGGTGGGTGGGTTCAGGGGTTCTGATGTTTAGTTTCCTCTGAGGGACATGAGTGGGACAGGAAGTGACACGGACGCCCCTCATGTTTGATGTTTCTGTCTCAGTTGGAGCTGCAGGCCGATCAGGACGTCGTCGTCTACGACCAGAACTCTTCGGACCCAGCTGCTCTCACTGCCGACTCCTTCCTCAGTGTTCTGCTGGTGAAGCTGGAGAGGAGCTTTCCCTCCGTGCACCTCCTCAAAGGTCAGTTCCTCCTCTCCTCCGATCTGACCATAGAACCCTCCTATTCCAGAACCAGCCTTGTCTGATGCCGTGTGCTCGCTGCTGATTGGTCCAAACAGAACAGTATTTTTGGACAGGAGGCTTCTGATGGGAACAAAGCTGAGGGAAGTTGAAGTTCTAGGAGTTTCCAGTTCTAAGTTCTGCTTCCTTTATGAAAACACTTAGTCCCATCAGAAGGGAAGTGGAAACCGGTTCAGATCAGGTTTGGATCAGCATGAGTTGCTGATGATGATGATGATGATGAAACTCCCTCCTCCTCGGAGGGTTGTTATGTAACGGTGATGTAATGCTGCTCCGTGACTCCACCCTCAAACTTCCAGACTTCTCTGACCGCGCTGACGTTCAGCTGTTACACAACAGGCAGACCCAGAGGGAAGTTTCCATTTCTGCTGTAAAAGATCACAGAAACCGAACCGGTCTGTGGGCCCAGTGGTTCTGTTTCTGGGTCGGTCTGTGTGGTTCCTTTGGCTCATCGCTGTGCTTCTGTTTTCAGGAGGGTTCTTGGAGTTCTCCCAGCTGTTCCCCGGGCTCTGTGAGGGGAAGTCCACTCTGGTTCCGTCCTGCATCTCTCAGCCCTGCCTCGCCGTCACCAGCGTCGGTCCGACCCGGATCCTCCCCCACCTGTACCTGGGCTGCCAGAGAGATGTCCTCAACAAGGTGACTCAGACGGACCGGTTCTGGTGTCTTTACTGCCGTGCCGCTCCGTTGGCCGTGTGTTCTGATCCGGTTCAGCTCTGTTTCAGGAGCTGATGCAGCAGAACGACATCGCCTACGTTCTGAACGCCAGCAACACCTGTCCCAAACCGGACTTCATCCCAGAATCCCACTTCCTCAGAGTTCCTGTCAACGACTCGTTCTGCGAGAAGATTCTGCCCTGGCTGGACCGGTCCGTCGAGTTCATAGGTTGGTATCCAGAAGGTTTCTGGTCCTGGTTCTGGTTCTGGTCCGGGTCCTGCTCAGACCAATATCTGCTGTGTTCTAGAGAAGGCCAAGGCCTCCAACGCTCGGGTTCTGGTTCACTGCCTGGCGGGAATCTCCCGCTCCGCCACCATCGCCATCGCCTACATCATGAAGAGGATGGACATGTCGCTGGACGAGGCCTACAGGTCAGAACCAGAACCTTTAAAGGCGCATTACAACTAAAACACTGAGAACTTGTCTTGATCTGGTTCTGATGGTACCGGTTGATGAAGCTGGAAGTTGGTTCCCAGACTTTCTGAGATCAGACCTCTGTGCTATTAAAATCTGCGGACATTGGTTCTGTGGTGCGTTACCATGGTGACCAGCGTCTTCCTCTTCTCCTCAGGTTCGTGAAGGAGAAGAGGCCTACCATCTCTCCGAACTTCAACTTCCTGGGCCAGCTGCTGGACTTTGAGAAGAACATAAAAAGCCCGGATGGTGTGACGGGCCGCCTGAAGCCGCCTGGCGCAGGGCCGCCACCCGACCCGGCGCAGGCCGAGCCGCCGTTGGAGCCCCTCACTCTGCCCTGCTTTCTGACCGACGCCCCAGAGAAGCTGGCCGAGGTTCTGGGCGGCGTGCAGCTCGGCGACGGTTCTGAGGACAGCACCAGGCTGAAGCGCTCCTTTTCTCTGGACATCAAATCTGTCGGCGAGCCGAGCGGAAGCTCCACCCATCGAGCGTTCGGAACGCACGGCGGGTCGGGGGACGACTTCTACAAAACGGCGTCCTTCAAAGAGGCGAGCGGCAAAACGCGGCAGTTCTCCCCGGTGGAGGAGGTGTCGGAGCAGTCGACTCCGGAGCAGAGCCCGGATAAGGAGGAGGCAGACGGGTCGGCGCCGCCGGCTACTAGCTCCGCCCCCAAACCTCCAGCCGCCACCCTGAGCTGTCCGCAGCACCTGCAGCGCAGCGGCAGCATGGAGGAGAAGACCACCGGCTTCCTGCTGGGCCTGTCCCACAGCCAGCAGCAGCTGGCCCCACCCGGTTCTGGCTCTGCCCTCAAGGGCTGGCACTCAGACATCCTGCTGGCGCCCGTCACAGTCTCCGCCTCCTCGCTGACGGGCGGCTGGTACCTGTCCTCTGAAACCACGCGGTTCTACTCCTCCTCCTCCATCCTTAGCAGCGCCGCCAGCAGCTTCGGCCCGTTGGGCTGCAGCCACGGGCTGGAGGCGGTGCGGCGCCGGCAGCGGGCCGGGGACCGCGGCGACTCCAGGAGGAGCTGGCACGAAGAGAGCAGCTTTGAGAAGCAGCTGAAGCGGCGCAGCTGCCAGATGGAATTCGGCGACGGGATGACGGACGGCAGGTCCAGGGAGGAGGTGAGGAGGGTGGCGAGCCAGACCGGGTTCTCCGGCAGCATGGAGGTGATCCAGGTGTCCTGAGGAGCGCCGCTGACGGGCTCTGCCCACATCCAAGCGTAACGCGGCCGGAAGAAACGGCCAACGGACGGAGGAGAGACGGACCCAGATTCCTCCCAGAACCGGGCTCAGCCAGTCATCAGAACCTTCAACGTAGCGATGAGCTTCAGTCTGTGGAGAGTCAGAGCGGTTCTGATCCAAACAGAAACTGATTCTGATAGAATCTTCACCTGCAGGAAGCCAGTTCTGGTTCTGATGCAGACGTAGATTTCTCTCTAATAGTCTTCAGCTGCTGACTTTGTTCTGACTAACTGGATCAGAACCAGAACTGGATTCACTAGAGAGAAATGTTTCAGATGATCATTAATGGAAGTTCTGACCCGGATCATGTTTCTGGACCTTAGGAGAGACGCAGGGGAAGCTGCTCTGCTCAGAACCTTCATCTGAAGCTCAGATGCTCCAATATTTGGAGCCAGGTCCGGTTCTGTTCGGTTCTTTGGACTTTCCTGATTTTCGGAAGCATCTGATTGGTTGATTGATCATTAGAATATTAAGTTGCAGGTTCTGTTCTGGTGTGTTCTGTAGTCTGGAAAGAAGAGCCAGAGTGTCTGAAAGGTTCTGATTGATCAGACTGGACCCGTCTCCAGAACCCTCAGCTGTTCACCTGTCAGGACCAGCAGGTCATGTGACCTCTGCTAACTGCTAATGTTGCACTACTTCTGGGCGGAATGACAAAGAACCTGAATCTCCAGGACTGACGCCTGTTTCTGCGGGTACGGAAAGCCAAATGTGCCATTTTTTTTCCCCCTCTTCAGAGCGGTTGTAATAAAAAACAGCACAAAACATCTGTGATCAATAAAACTTTTAAAACATTTTGATCAAGCGTTTGGACTTGGTCTGCATGGTTCTGGTTCTGCTCAGCCTTCCGGGCGCCCAGTTCTTCCGTGCTGGGAATGGTGCCGAGGTTTTCCTTCGGTCTGACCTCCTTAATCTGGGCTCTGCTGGTGGAGCGGGGCGGGTCCACTCAGGAACAGGTGGGTAGATTATAGTCTGTGTTTGTGGAGCTTTTTGGATCTTCAGGTTCTAAAGTTCTGCAGATAAAGTGATACGGTGAGTCTTTTTTTTTCACAAGAACTGAAGCTAGAGCTCGGCTTTCCGCCTAGATTTAGGTTCTGACGGTCCTCCTCTCACAGCTTGAACATCTCCAACTCTTCTGGCAAAGCTTTTTGACGTTGGACACTAACGTTGAACCTCAGCTGGGCATTATGGGTAGAAATTCCCTTAATGGTTTGTTTCCTGGAATAGAACCAGATTCTACTGCGGGACGCTATTTCTCCTTTCGCTGAATGAGTTTACAAAGTGTTCTGGGAGGCCACTTCATTCACAAGTCAGTTCCTGTCCTCACTCAGTCTGAAGGGACAATTTTAAGAGTTAGCGGGCAATTCCCCCTAGCTCCTATAAGTATTAGGACACACTAACCTTACGCATGAACACGCAAAACCGAGAGCTAGGGACCAAACCGAGAGCAAGCGAGAGAGATGGGACTGGGCCTAAGTCTACTTTAAAATAGGCTTATTGTCATTTTGTATGCAGAGTTTATTAAAAAAACATTTTGTTTTGTACAGCTTTCATGACATTTCCATTTCTTAAAGTGCAGCAGTTATCAAATCTAAACATTGAGGGAGAAACAAAACCCATTAATACGGTTATTTGATGCAGAGTCTGTGACATGATTTAGTTTTTTCAACACTCAGCTGTTAACCAGCTAAGTAGAGTTTAACTTGTCCCTCCTTAGAAACACCTCAGGAGAGTTTTTTATTTCAATGAATCAGGGGCAAGCATTGCTGTCTAGCAGCAATGCTTGGAGATGGGCACCAGCACCCCTGGTGACCCGCTTGGAATAAGCGTGATGGAAAACGGATGGAATCAGGGGCAATCAGCTCTAAATACACGTTGGGTACACAGACAAATGACACACTAAAAGAAGAAGGATGTTAAACTGTAAGAACCACAATACATAAAAACACTTAGAAATTATATAGGGGTCTGAAATTGTCCAGTGCGAGGCATGATCTAAAAAAACATTCCAGAAATCACAATCTTTCTTTGTATGATACACCTGCTATTATCAGCTAGATTTCTGACCCTCAAAGACCTGTTAGTCTGCCTTCACTAGTCCACCTCCACTCCATTTATTATCCTGAATTAGCTGCATAAAGACACCTGTAGTGTCCACCTAATACAATCAGTAAGAATCCAACTACTAACAAGGCCAAGACCAAAGAGCTGTCCATAGACACTAGAGACAAGATTGTACATCTCCACAAGACTAGAAAGAGCTATGGGGAAATTGCCAAGCAGCTTGGTGAAAACAGGTCCACTGATGGAGCAATGATTAGAAAATGGAAGAAGATAAACATGACTGTCAATCTCCCTCAGACTGAGGCTCTATTCAAGATCTCACCTGGTGGGGTCTCAATGATCCTAAGAAAGGTGAGAAATTAGCCCAGAACTACATGGGAGGAGCTGGTCAATGACCTGAAAAGAGCTGGGACCACCGTTTCCATGGTTACTGTTGGTAAGATGTCATTTTGTTTGAAATCTCACATGGTAGGAAGGTTCCCCTGCTTAAACCAGCACATTTCAAGACCCGTCTGAAGTTTGCCAACGACCATTAGGAGGATCCAGAAGAGTCATGGGAGAAAGTCATGTGGTCAGATGAGACCAAAATAGAACTTTTTGGTCAGAATTCCCAGACATGGGCAATATGGAGTCAACAAGTCATCTCCATGTCATGTATTTCTTCTAGCCAGCCAATTAACCAGGTGAGTCCAATCTGCACAGGTTAATTCACGGTGAAGATTGGACTCACCTGCTTCAGTGGCTGGGTAGAACAAATACATGACATGGAGATGACTTGTTGACTCCACATTGCCCATGTCTGATAATTCCACAAACTGTGTTTGGAGGAAGAAGAATGATGACTGCCATCCCAAGAACACCATTCCTTCTGTGAAGCATGGGGGTGGCAGCATCATGCTTTGGGGGTGTTTTTCTGCACATGGGACGGGGCGACTGCCCTGTATTAAGGAGAGGATGATCGGGGCCATGTGCTGCCAGATTATGGGGAAAAACCTCCTTCCCTCAGTTAGAGCGTTGAAGATGGGTGGAGGCTGGGTCTTCCAGCATCACAATGACCTGAAGCACAGCCAGGATAACCAAGGAGTGTTTCTGGAAGAAGTAGTAAGGTTCTGGCATGTCCTAGAAAGTCTCCGAACCTAAAGCCAATAGAGAATCTTTGGAGGGAGCTCAAACTCCATGGTTCTCAGCGACAGCGTAGAAACCTGACTGATCTAGAGATGATCTGTGTGGAGGAGTGGGCCAAAATCCCTCCTGCAGTGTGTGCAAACCTGGTGAAATGCTACAGGAAATGTTTGACCTCTGGAATTACATACAAAGGCTACTGTACCAAATATTTACGCTGATTTTCTCAGGTGTTCAAATACTTATTTGCAGCTGTATCATAAAAAAAGAAAAAAAAAATCTAACATTGTAATTTCTGGATTTATTTGAAGATTGTCTCTCAGAGTGGACGTGCACCTGACAGTTTCAGATAAGTCCTTGATTTCTGAGTTGGAGATCTTACAGAAAAGCAGGGTTTTCAAATACTTATTTCTTCCCACTGTGTTTGACGTTCAGCATGGATTTTTGGGTTCTTCGTGTAGGGGGTGCCTTTGCACTTTGGGAAATAAACTGTTCCTGAGTCTTGTCTGTTTTTTTCTTAATTTTAATTCAATTCAATTATACTTTATTAATCCCTGGAGGGAAATTAAATGTTTATGTAATGTTCCTCAGCTGCTCTCCTGATGGAGGAGGGAAAACATGGATTCCCTGTTGTCTTAAGCAGGACTGGACTCGTCACAGACGTGATCCCAATGGGATCTGGGATAAAGCCTCAGCTATTCCTGGACTCATGCAGCCAGATCCCATAGATGACACCCCATGATCCCCTGTGCTTTACTGACTGATGAATGAATCTGTGGAATATATAACCATTAAAAAACCCCTGAATCGATTAACTGTTCTGATTAGAGGGAGTTTAAACATCCTAAACAAACACAGAAAGGCCAAGTTTTCTTTGGGGTTTCTACATGCAGGGCCACAGCTTTTAGGAGTAAGAGCTTCCTACTGAGCCTGTGCAAAGCAATGAAAGTAGAGTTGTTAGGAGGCACACCCCCCCTTGCCGTTCAAAGATATGCCTTATTAACATTTTTTTGGTTTAAATTTTCTTTTTGTAAATGATCTACCTGCAGTGGTAGTCATAATAAATAATCAGTTAAAATCTACCAATAATCTGATTGGATGAAAGCTGTTTGCAGCTTTCTGCTGCAGGGTTTGTATTTGTCCAGCAGAGGGGAGTGAAGGAGCATGAAACCAGTTTTCCCTGGGCTGTGACTGCAAGGTAACATTTGTTTAAGCATCTTTCTTAGGTAATAATAATGTTAGTGTATTTTGGTAATTGTTTTCTACATGCCTTTTTTTTGATGAAGCTGCTCATTTTTTTCTTTTAACCTCAGCATCTCTGTTCTTTTTAACATTTGAGAAACAAAATGATCACAGTGGGGCAACCCTTCTCACCCACTCATCTCTCAGGACTTAAAGTGGGAGTGTAACATCAACTCCCTCACCAAGAAAGCCCAGTAAAGGGTATACTTCCTGCGGCAGCTGAAAAAATTCAACCTGCCAAGGTGAATGATGGTTCACTTCTACTCCTCCATCCTCACCTCCTCCATCACCATCTGGTACGCTGATGCCACTGGAAAGGACAAAGGCAGACTGCAGTGTGTCATCTGGTCTGCAGAGAAGGTGATTGGCTGCCTTCCTCCATCTCTCCAGGATCTGTACACCTCCAGGACTGTAAGGGGGTGCAGGGAGGATTGTGGCTGATCCCTTCGCACCCAAGCCGCAAACTCTTTGAGACACTTCCCTCTGGCAGGAGGCTGCGGTCCATCACCACAAGAACAGTTTCTTCCCATCTGCTACCAGCCTTATCAACAAGGCCCATATATATAATTTGTCTGCACTATCAACATCAAGGTAAATTCCTTGTAAGTGCAAACCTATGGGGCTACGTTTGTAAAGTTAAGCATTAAAAAATTAGGAGCAATATTTCTGGTTATTTAGTGTGTTTTAAGAGAAAAATAATAATAATCATTTATAAAAATCTTAATTTGTTAAATAGTTATTTAGTTTGAAGCTAAATATTGATTAAACAAACTAAATGTTTACTTTGCAGACTAAATATTTTTTTTAACAAACTAAGATTTTTATAAACGAATGATGGAAAAACATAAACCCCTTATTATTTTCTTAAAACACGCTAAATAACAATAAATATTGCTCCTAATTTTTTAATGATTAACTTTACAAACGGCGCCCCATACAAACCTACTTTGCAATAAATCTGACTGTGATTCCAGAACCCCAGCCTGGAGCTGAAACATGTGAGGTTCGTGATTCTCTGCTGTTGTGTGGTGTTCCCCAGGGCTCAATTCTGGGACCTTTGCTCTTTACTTTGTACTTCCTTCCTCTGGGTTCTATTTTTAGAAAATATGACATCTCCTTCCACATGTGGCTGATTGAGCCTGTAAAATGATGGCAGGTCAATAAAACCACTTTTATTGATGTGTAGGGGATATTATTAAAGCTTGGATAGCACTAAATGACACGGCATTTTAATGAAGAAAGAACAGAGGTGCTTGTTTTTCTATGTTTGATGTACAGCACTGTTTCAGTTTTGGTTATTAAAGTGTTTTACAAATAAAGCTAATGATGATGATTCTCCATGTAAATTATTCTGATATTTTGAAACTTATAAAGGCTATCTCTGTATATATTATTGATCAGTAGGTTGTTTAAAAAAAAAAAAAAAGTAAACAAAAGTGGAGATGATTGCTTGATCAAACCACAGGAGGTAACAGGAGCCTAAAACTCATAAAACAGCAATCAATTTTCCAGGGTGCTTTCTTTTTTTTTTTTCCAGGGCACAATTTTCCTTTGTGCAATTATAATTATAATTATATAATGATTAACTGATAACACATGCCAGGACCTAAATTGTTGCTTCTTTTCCTTGCCTGTTAAATATTTTCAAATATATTATTAGAGAATTACTTATATGCTGATAGTATTTCTAAAACTAAATAAATATTTATTATTTTTATTTATTATTGCTGTGAAAACTTTGTGGTTTAATTTTGAAAATCCTGTGGGCGGGGCCAGTACATCAGGCTGCCTGTCAGTCAGCGCTCAGGGACAGATTGACCCTAGCTGCTGTGCAGAAAGCTGCGGCTGCTGATCTCCGAACCGAACCGCAGTCTAATAGTTTCCTCTGGAGAGGAGCTCCATTTCTCAGAACCGGAACCGAGCAGGTGACTGGTGCCATGCAGTTCTGACCCGGTCCGGACCTTTGGATGCTGCAGGTAAGCTCGGTTAAAAGCTGCTGCGCCTTTCAGCGAACCCAGACAGGTGGACCGGAAGGTTCTGGAGGGTGGGATAGGGATTAATGTCAGAACCTCATGCTGCCAACAGCAGGTGCTGAAATAAACCAGATGACTCAAATGGTTTCCTGAAAACCAGCCCAGTAGAACCGCTGACATGTTTTGGTTTTGGTGACCTGAGGCGGTTCGAGGCCAGCTGGTCCAATCAGGAAGGTTCACCTGTGTGACAGGTGCTGGTTCCTGGCGCTGGTTCCTGGTGCTGGTTCCTGGTGCTGGTTCCTGGTGCTGGTTCCAGGCACTGGTTCCAGGCGCTGGTTCATGGTGAGCAGCTCACTTTGGGCTCATCTGTGGCTCAACTGCAGCTTTGGGTTGATTGTTAGACTTTTCTTGTTCTGCTTAGAGTCTGAGTCCAGTTGATCAGACCTATGGGTTCTGATAGGATCCTGGTTCTAACACCTTGCAGAACCAGACCGGTTCTGATCCAAAGGGGAATTAGTCTGAGGAAGATTGCTGGTTGTTCTGCTGCTTGGGATGTTCTGTCTCTCAGTATTGGGTTTCTCTGCTAGATCCGCTCATCGGTTCCTCTGGGTCAGAACCTCAGACCCGTTTCCTTGGATGGCCTGGTCCGGTTCTAGAGAATCCTAGCTGAGGTGTTTGGTTTGGGTTATGTTCTGGTTAGAATCAGGCTGACATTCTGTGACTTCTCAGCATCAGAACTTATTCCTCTGGGTTCTTTTTGGGTTCTGTAGTTTTAACCCTGAGGCACCTTGATGTGGTTCTGTAGGTTCTGGCTCTTTGGGATCAGACATGGAGTTCTGTTTATCAGTGGTGTTTTCCTGGAGACCCGGTTGGGCCCTTTAGGGACCTTTGAGTCGGACTCATTGTGCAAACAGAGACGTCTTGTGTCCGGGTTCCAAAGTCCACAGCTGCTGCTGAACCTAAAGAACCTAAAGAACATCTCAGAGTGTCTCTCTGTGTTCTGGAAGGTTCTGGACGTTCCACAGACGGAGATGGAGACTAATGAGTCACCAGATCAAACTGTTGATCAGCGGGCTCCTCTCTAAGCATTCAGTAAATAAATCCACCAGGGATGACGTCCTGCTCCTCTTACTGTAACCAGGTGTTTCCCAGGAGACGCCTTGTTTGTGTGGTTGCCGGGGCGACGGCGCGACATAACCGTACCTGCCAGGTGTGATGTCCTGGAGCAGCATTGAGGGATCAGGAGTCGAGTTGCAGGAGGAAGAAGACGACGGAGTTCACCTTTTGTTACCTGCTGCCGGCTCCAGGGCCGGATCAGGCACAGGGGGGGCCCCGATGCTGCGGTGGGGCCCCGTAGGACATCCACAGCATACATCAGAACCATCAGTTTGCTCTAATGTTTCAGTCAACGTCATCGATTATGAATCATTTATTGATAATTTGGCTGATCCTGGATCAGTGGGCAGGTTAACTCTAACAGGTCCGGTCCTGCTGATCGATGGTTCTGTTCAGTGTTTGGGTCCAAACCTGCAGGCAGACGGTAGCCGATAAGAGATCAGAGGCACGAACCGATGATGTTAGAGCAGCTAACAAACAAGCTGGGAGGAAAAAAGCTGCATTAATCAGAGCCGATAAAGTAGGCGGGGCTTAGGGCAGAAATCTGGATGATGTCACACAAAAACAGGAAGTAGATAAATTATCAGGATCAAACAGTGGAAATGGAAATGAAGAGATTTATCTCAGTGAAGGGAAAATGGATTTAACGAACAAAATAAATTGTTTTCCCTTATTTTAATGATAAACACATAATTTAGAAAACATAAAATTTATTTACAAAACTAATTAAATAGCTCCTTTTTAACTCCAGGGGGCTTTATGCCACTTTCAATCAGTCACACACATAATTATAATTAAAAGTACAAAAAAACAAACAAAAAAAAAACAAACCAAAAAAAGCAGAATATTTGAAGATTTACAAACTGGTGAACAATTTAAGAATATCTGAAACAGAAATTAAATTAGAATAAAAATAAATATGATAAAAAGCAAACAATCAGTTGATATGAGTGTTAAAAAAGGATATTTATTAAATGCTAAAATAAAAAAAAATATTTTTGGAAAATATTACATATTATTAGGAATAAGCTGTTGAGTAAAATTAGAACATTTTTTAATTTAATTATTTAGCAGAAAGAGTTAGTTAATCATAATTATCAGTTTGTTCTGTTGGGTCGGTTCTGACCGGGTCAAAAGTTCCTCACCCATCTGCTCCCAGGTAGGCCCCGCCTCCCACCTGTCAGTCACCAATTAAAGGCTTAACGAGCTCAGAGCTTCAGAAGCTGATCCTCTCTAATCTGCTCCTTCTGCTGCTGACAACCAGATAGCAGCCTGGTTCTGGTTCTGACTCTCCTGTGGACCGGTTTGCTCAGGTAGGCTCAGCTTATTTATGGGTCTGGGCCAACCTAAAGTCCAAACCCAGCTTTATTCCTGTTTGTAGGAAGCAGCCAATCAGGTCAGAGTTTCAGGATCATGTGATCAGAGTTTGAGAAGGAAACAGGTAGTGGTATGTCTGTTTGGAGCAGTTTCAGGAGAACTGTTCTGGGACCAGTTAGAACTTTAGGTCTACAGCAGAACCTGGACAGGGATGTGATGTTTTAGAGGAGATGTCACTGATTAGTGGACTGGGGACCAGATCCACCTGCTGGCTAATCTGGACCCAACCTGATTTAAAACATTTATAAATTACCGCATGTTATCTGATGACAGTGTCCAACTTCACTTGCCCCTCTTCTCCTGTTAATACGGTAAAGCCCTTTGGAGCTTCCGGGACCAGACTACATGTGATCCAAATGATCCAATGAGCTGCTGTCAGTCTGGGTTGCTGCTGCTGCTACTTTTAGACACAGCAGGCAAACCTGTGGCAAGCCGGGCAATGGGAAAGAAGGAGAAGATGATGAGAAAAAGAGAGCAGAGAAAGTGTGGACTGCTGGAAGAACTGTGGTGAACTGGTGAAAGAAAAGTGAAATGGTGCTCAAAGATGATCCTGAACATTTAGAGGATGTTTGGCTCAACCTGCTGCTGTGAAGCAGGATTCTCCACCATGAACAGAATCAAAAATAAATATGGATCCAGGCTCAAAATGAGCTCCTTGATATGTGCTTTAGAATGGCTTAGTCTCCATTTAAACCCAGGTTTAAAGCCTTGCAGGGCAGCCTAAAGCCCACTGCCAACATTAAGACAGAAAAAAGAAAGAAAAACGGTCAGTTCAGGTGTTTTATAAAATATGCGAATCAGGAAATTATCTGTATATTGTCTATATATGATTGTTGTTCTCTAATTTAAAAAAACACTTTAAATTTCAAAATGGAATTATATATTTTTTATTTAGAAATGTAATGCATAACATGGATACATAAACACCTCATTTTATTTAGAGTTAAATTCTGTCTAAAGTAAAAAATGTCCCCAGACCTTAGTGGTTGATGATTTTCTTTATTCGGCCCCCGCTGATTTTTAACTTGTGACCCCTGTTTTAGAGTTTCGGGTTTTTATTGATTAAAGGAGAACCAGTACAGCACATTGATGACCCACCTCAATACCGGATCAGAACCATTTAGCCATTAGAGTCTCAAATTCAGAACATTTATTTGGATGAAAGCTGCTTCAGTGGTGGAGGTTTAGTTCTAATTGGTATCCCAGCGATGGACCAGCGATGGTTTGGATCCGTTTGAACCAACATGTTACCAAGGCAACAAGCTAGAGTTCTGTTAGGTACCAGCAAAGGTTCTGGTTCTAACAGATTTAATGGATCATTCATTCATCAGGACATTTGGATCCTAAACCAGGAATGTTCTGTGAGGTTTCCTCTGATAAAGAATCTGGAATCTTCTACTGATTTAGGGAGTATTAAAAACATGAGGAATAAAATTAAGAGACTAATTAAAAAATCTTAAAGTTCGCTTATTAAAAAATTAAAATAATTTAGATTGCAACTAAGAAAAGGAGTAAAATGAATTCAAATGAAATTGATTTATTATAAAAAAAATGTAAATGGAATTTAATAAAAGTGAAGAAAAAAAATGAAATATTGAAGTGAAATTACCTTAAATCGCATATAAACATAATTCTTTTTATTTACTATTTCCAGACATGAAAGGATTCGCTACACTTTACATCTTACCAAAAAAGAAAAGTTGGCAGAACTCAAAATTTCAGGGCAAAGATTTAGTTTAAGATTCAACTTAATCATTTACCGTTATCGTTTTACTTTAAAGTTTGCCAAACATTAAAAATCCCGTCTTACTGTAACTTGTTTCCAGGTTATTGGAAGTAGTGACTTGAAAAATGAACAAACTACAAATGGTGAGCTAGAATTTATTCGTCTGAATTTTTTTCTGACCCAGTCGAGTTTCAAACCGGCAACCTTTGCCATATAGCCAAGAAGCAAATGTTCTGCTCTCTAACCAGCAGGCCTTCCACTGGCAGTGAGGATCACTGACTGCTGGTAACTTTATACCTAAATAAGAAGCTTTATTATTATTGTACAAAACTAACTATAAAAGTGTTTCGTTTTTTTTTTTTCGACATTTCACAACAAAAACCAAAATTTAGCAGAGGTTTCCCGTTTAAATTTCTTACAAGGTTCTTACAACTGAAAATGTTTGTTAAAAGTTTTTTAAAGCAAATCGGTAAAAACCTGTTGGTATGATTTCCTTCACTCTGTTGTACTGTGTAGTACTCTTAGTACTGTGTGTTCCTTAGTAGTACAGCTAATGAGTCCAGGTATCCCTTTATTAGCCCCGCCCCCAGTGGGCAGGAATGACGACCTCTGCATTTTCAGGATTATTATGGATTATTTTTAGCCTCGTGCTGCATTCAGGTGCTGAGAGAACTGCTGCTGAAAGGAGGGGGGGACATGTTGGGGTGGACCTTAAATCAGCCGCACATGATGGAGCTGTTATAATAATCTGGACCAATCAGACTGCAGCAAAGGTCAGAGGGTC